AAAAAAAAAAAAAAGTTGATTGAAATTTTTTTTTTATATCGCTAGGCAGAAGTGTTCTTTTAATCTGTGCATCTACCAGGCTAATGAGGAGTAAATTCTGCCTCTTTATGCTGTGCTTCCTATGTTGCATGCTCAGCATTAGTTCGTGAATTTGTGTGAGCCTCTATAATCAACAGAATGTATAAAATGTTCAGGGGGGATTATTAGATTATCCCCCAATAGCTAAGGCTCTTCTTAATTTCCAAAATCCAGAATGGTATTTTTACAACATTATATAATTGATCTATACATAATGATAAATACTTTTATACATATATAAGTTACTGTGCACTCAATAAGTTTTTTTAACTTTTACCCGTTGCTTATATTTTCAGTTCTCGTGATTCCAAGATAATAATAGTCTCCAAAACAAAATCATAAATCAGTAATTTCTTCTTCTTTCTGTGAGATACAAAATTGAATAATTTTACGTTTTTTCCTAACTTGGCTTACTTTATGTAGGTGGCATTAATATATGAATGGTAAAAAAGTAGGAGAAGCCGAAGGCCTAGTTAGTAGTGTCCCAATTTACTATAATGAAATTTAGTAAATAATAATGTCCCAATTTCAGTGTCCCATTGAATTTTCATTATAGCAAATTTCTTGATTTTTCTCTTACCTTCTTTAAGTAGTGCCTTGCATCAAATAATCTCCCAGTCACTCAACTGTTTATCATTATTATATTTGCTTATGTCCTTTTCTTTTCCTTATTTAAGCTGGATTGTAGTCACGTATTCCACTTACAGTGCTGTCGGCGAGTTTTAGAAAATCGATGGCTTGGCCCAAGGATAACATTTGGATTTATATCTTGTCCCATTTGTAAGGTATGGAAAGAATCTGAAATCGTGTACTTTCTTTTTCTTTTGTTCTTTCTTTTCACCTTTCAAAATAAACATATGTCAGCATTTCTTGGTTTCCTCTCCAGTTTACGTTTTACACACCAGTCACTAGCAATTTCTTCCATTCTCATTCATGTGGAATGAGAGAGATAGAAACAGAGAGAGAATGTAATCTCTCTGTTATAATGCATCTCAAAACAGTAATTGTCCATTTAAAATTGATTACACTCTGTTAAACATATTACATGAAAAAGTTCATTTAAACATCCTGATGCATTAAGGGGCATGCATCTCTACTCTCAGACCACCAGAGAGGTCAGTTGACATAACATGACAACGACTACTAAAAAGAATGATCCTCTGGTGTTTGTAAAAACTGATACCTGCCATTAAAGAGTGAAATTGGAACCCTCAGTACCACTAGAACAGATTCTTTTAGAGCTTAGTTAAAACAAGGAGAAAGTTCTTGGCATTTTGACACGTTTCTACAAAGGTAGTCAGCAAGTAGGAAGTTGTTTTGGCAAGCTAATAATGATTAACAAAAAGCTCTTTTTAAAGAGTGTGGCAGCATTTTCCCTATTAATTCATCTTTCCTTTTTGTTCTATTAAGCTGTTCCTATTTTCTTATCTTCATATTTGCAAACTAATATGAAGAGTATAATATGGAAAGACTTAGTACAATCATTGTCTAGATAGACTGAGGAATAATCAAAAAGATTGTAGTATTTTGCTCTCCCCTCTCATATGTTGCCGCAAATATTAATAGATACATGAAGGTTTTATAGCAAATACTACCTGTTCACTTCTGTCACCTGGCATTCTGCCTTCCCCTCAAGGAAGCATTACACACACGCGCACACACACACACACACACACACACACACAGCGTGTCTTATTTGTGGCAGCAAGGTAACTTTATTTCCACAATAGCTAGGGCAACAGGAGATATATTTCAGACTCAGGAAATATAAAGCTAATAAAATGGAATTTTCATTCTCTGTGTCCCGTTTGCCCCATTTTCCCTGCTCTTGGGAAAATACGGGCTTCTAAAGACTTTACAGGGTGTTTTTCAAATGACATTTTATTTAGAATATGTGTGCTCTGTGGTTATCTTCTAGCACAATGCTTGGCATTTAGGTGCATAGTAAGTATGTGTTGAGTTGATTGATAAATGATTCTTCTAAAGAATGTTCATTTTTTTATTGCAGAACAAAATTAATCACATAGTACTAAAAGACCTACTTGATCCAATAAAAGAACTCTATGAGGATGTCAGAAGAAAAGCCTTAATGAGATTGGAATATGAAGGTCTGCATAAGAGTGAAGCTATCACAACTCCTGGTGTGAGGTTTTATAATGACCCAGCTGGCTATGCAATGAATCGATATGCATATTATGTCTGCTACAAATGCAGAAAGGTATGCTATAAATTATACTGAGAAGTTTTAAAAACTAGAGCTTACCTATATGATTAAGAATTCAAATTGTACAGTGATATCTAATTATTCCATCTTAAGCCTGAAGTTAAAAATAAGGTAGCTTGGTACAATGTTTCCCAATGTTTCCAGTAAAACTAGTTTACTTAACTTGTTTGGGGATTCTTTATTTAACCTGAACAAACTTTTGGAGACATGCAGTATTTCTGTATACAAGCCACTTCCCATCAGTAATAACCTGTTTGCCTAGGGCAATTCCTTCTCTAATAAACTTCTCTCACTTGACTCTGCTAACCATTCCTTCCTTAAAACTCTTAATTCCTTGGCTTCCAGGACAGCACTTTCTTTTTCTGTCCTCCTTCCTTCCTGGTCAATTATCTTTAACTACTTCTTCTTTTTTTTTTTTTAACCTACCCCTTACATATTTGTTTTCCCAGAGCTCCGTTCTTGGCTACTTAATAAATACTTCTTACCTTGAGTGACCTCTTTTACATCTATACCTTCACCTACCACGTATACCTTTATGACCTTCCAAAATTGTTGAGATTTAGTTACAAATATCCAACTGTGTACCAGACATTTGAATCTTTCACACATACTTCAGAGTTCACGTGTCAGGTATTATATTCATCAGTCTTGGCCGGGCACAGTGGCTTACACATGTCATCCCAGCACTTTGGGAGGCCAAGGTAGGTGGATTTCTTGAGCTCAGGAGTTTGAGACCACCCAGGGCAAAATGGCAAAACCCCATCTCTACAAAAACTACAAAATTGAGACAGGTAGGTTGGCATGTACCTGCAGTCTCAGCTACTTGGGGGACTGAAGCAGGGGAATCGCTTGAGTCCAGGGGGTTGAGGCTGCAATGAGCTGTGTTCATGCCACTGCAGTCCAGCCTGGGTGACATAGTGAGACCCTGTCTCAAAAAAAAAAAAAAAATGACTTTACCAGTCTCTGATCTTTATTGACAAAATCCTATCAATTCTGTCTCCAGATCTCTCTTGAGTCCTTTTGTCTTTCCATTACATCTCCAGCAAACCTAATCATTTTCCTTGGTAATTACAGTAGCCTTCTTCCTGAGCTTGGGTGTAGAACCTCTAATTCCTCCATTGCATCCCTTACACTGCTGCTAATTAATACTTCTAGATCTGAAATCTAATTGTATCATTTTTCTACTATAATACCGTAGCCCAGTCTCCCTCTCCAGTCTCATCTCCGAAGATGCTATCATTTGCTCTACATTTGCTACAACATACCAAATAACTTGCATTTCCCAGACTCAGCCCTGTCTGCCCACCCACTGACACCCCCCTGCCATTGCACAGTCCGTTGCTGTTCAAAGGATGCTCTTCCCTACCTCCACCTGCAAATTTTACTCTGACCTGGCACCCCCAGCCCCATACACACATGCTGTCATGCAGAGCCTAATCTGTCTTGTCATACCTCAGCCTTCAGCTCAGGTTTCACCTCCTCTGTAACATGCCTCCATCTCACTTCCATCAACACCACCACATGATTTTGGTATCTTGCAGGCGTCTAGCATAGTACCGCCTATTCTGCATTGTGACTACTGGACTACTTATCTCTCTGCCCCACTTGATAAGTTCCTTGAGTAGCATAGTACTGCCTATTCTGCATCATGACTACTGGACCACTTATCACTCTGCACCACTTGATAAGTTCCTTGAGGACACAGACTATGTTTTTTCATTTTTCCATCTCTAGTACTTGGCACTTATTAGATACAGAGTTAAGTGGAGAGTGAATAAATGAGTGAACGAATGACTACATGAGAAAGATGCATAGTCCCCCAGTGTAGCAAAAAGAAAATACAGGATGAATGGATGTCTGAGTAGCGAGATGATAGCTAGAAAGGCAGATAGATACGTGCACACCCAATAGTGTACATTTATGAAACTTGTATTGTTACAAATAACAAAATAGTATTTCTGTGTGTTTCATGTACTAAACATTATAAATGAATATTGTGCTATTTCAGAGTAGCAATCAAATGTTTAGGAAGCCAAGCAGAGGATATAGAAAAGTGAAACAGCTGGAGTAAGCAGTCCCCAGGACAAACCAAAATACTTCCAGGGTTAGGTTTAGCTGGTGAACGACCGTTTATAACCTCTGCATCAGTGGATCCTGTCTTTGAACCTGTTTTTCTAGTATAAGTAATAGATTTATATTGACTCAGTTTGTTTATTCCCAATCCGGACATAGCTTTTTGACTACGAGACATGATGTGCATGCAAATTGTCCCAGTTCCTTGGTGTCACTTATTCTCTGCCCAGGGCAAAATACAGATAAATCACCCATCATGATATTTTTATTTATTCATGATAATTTTATTTATTCAAATTCTATTCAATTGTCTGTATTGGAAATTGTTGAGTTCCTGCCTATTGCATAACTTTATAACTATGAGCAGTATTGTGAATAGAATTACCAAATTTGCCTTTTTTTTTTTTTTTTTTTTTTTTTGAGATGGGGTCTCACATTTTACCCAGGCTGGAGTGCAGTGGCATGATCTCAGCTCACTGCAGCCTCCACCTCCTGGGCTCAAACAAGCCTTCCACCTGCGCCTCCTGAGTAGCTGGGACCACAGGTCCACACCATCACACCTGGCTAATTTGTTTGCTTGTTTGTATTTTTGATAGAGATGGGTTTTGCCATGTTGCCCGGGCTGGTCTTGAACTCCTGAGCTCAAGGAATCTGTCTGCCTCACCCTCCCAAAGTGCTGGGATTACAGGTGTGAGCCACCATGCCCAGCCTGCCTTTCCTTCTTAAAAAACGTGTGATCAGAAGATGCTTAAAAGTACTTTTTTCTTTCCCATTAGCCTTGGAATTACGATTCTATACTAATTACTTTTGCAGTATTATAAATTGAGAATTGCTAAGCATATTTATTAAAATAGTAGAAGGGAATATATATTTTAACATTTCAAAATGAGAAAAGTTTCTCAAACTTGACCCTGAAAAAAGCATACCTTTTACTACTTAACATTCTGTTGATATTTATTTGGAATATTATGCTTTTTTGTCATTTTGTTTTAATAGGACAATGTATCTCCCTACTTTAAACGTGAATCCATTTGAGAATCGAAATAGCTTTAGGCCAGGCATGGTGGCTCATGCCAATAATCCCAGCATTTTGGGAGGCCAAGGCAGGAGGATCACCTGAGCCCAGGAATTTGAGACCAGCCTGGGCAGCATAGGGAGACCCTGTCTCTACAGATAATTAAACAATTAGCCAGGCATGGTGGTGTGCACCTATGATCCTAGCTACTCAGGAGGTTGAGTTGGGCGGATCGCCTGAGCCCGAGAGATTGAGGCTATAGGGAGCCATGATTGTGCCACTGTGCTCCAGCCTGGGCAACAGAGTGAGACCCCGTCTCAAAGAAACAGAGAGAGAGGAGGAAGAGGAGAAGAGAAGGGGAGGAAGGGAAGGAGGGAAGTAAGGAAGGGAAGGAAGGAGGGGAAGAAACAAAAAGAAGAAATAGTTTTATTTTTTACCCTGATCCACCCTACATACAGTCAGCAATACGGGCATGCACTTGGCATTTCAAGGGATGGTCTAGTAGATATTAGTATTTTCTAAAACCCCTTGATCTGACTTTCACTATGCCCATACTGTATCTCCCATGCCAGAGTTTTATTTTTTCCTGCTGTAATCTAGATGTGTTTTCTCCACAGGCATATTTTGGTGGTGAAGCTCGCTGTGATGCTGAGGCTGGACAGGGAGATGATTATGATCCCAGAGAGCTCATTTGTGGTGCCTGTTCTGATGTTTCCAGGGCTCAGGTAGGCAAGACATTGTATTAGAAACAACAGTTTAGAAATGTTAAATAATATTTTTTTAAACAATAATATGGTGGGAATATAAATCAGGCTTTTCTCCTCAGTATTTTCTGATATTTGTTCAGTGTTGTATAATTTTTCACATTATTTCATATATATTATTTCCTTTGGGTAATTATTTTATAATTTTGTCTTCCATGAAATGATCACCATAGTTAAACAATGTAATAAATTTACTTATTTTCTTAGTTTCTTAAACCTGCAGTGAAACTTTTAGGTTTTCCCCTCTTCAGTGAAATATTCCCAGTATATCTGTGAGATTATGAGAGAGGTTAACTTCATTAATTTTCAGTTTGACAGGCCATAAAACATTCATAAAGAAATTAAGTAGCTTGCTTATTAAATCAGATAGATTATGATGGAAATGGGATTAGAACTTGGATCTTTGTCCAGACCTTTTGGGCAGAGCCACATATTTATTTGTTAGTTTTCAAACATGTGTATCATCAGTTTTTCAATCAATTTTTAGAGTTATGTATGCCCTCAAAATATGAATTAAGGAGCTATCTATGTATATGCCTATCTTAAGTGTGATTGAAATAGTCTCACTATGATCTTGTGTCTGTCTTTTCTCTTTTGCTATAGATGTGTCCCAAACATGGCACAGACTTTTTGGAATATAAATGTCGCTACTGCTGTTCAGTGGCTGTCTTTTTCTGTTTTGGAACAACACATTTTTGTAATGCTTGTCATGATGATTTTCAAAGAATGACTAGCATTCCTAAGGAAGAACTACCACACTGTCCTGCAGGTATGCTTTCAATATTTTAAAATCACGATTATGATCTATATACTGTAGTTTTATGTAAACATTAATATGAACGCTCTTTGTTTCAAGTGACAGAAACTCAATTCAAACTAGCCTAAAGAAGCAGGAGGAATTCCTTGATCCTTGTAAGCATATGACTTTCTGGGTGAAGTAGGAAGCAAGCTGATCATCGTGAGTGAGGAGTTAGCTCTGACGGAGCAGATCTCTTGGGGAGTGAGAATGCAGTCTACTAAGGATTGGTGAAAAGATGGCTGTTCCACACTAAAAAGTCATATGAAGTTCAATATTACAGAACCATTTAAAAGGATTCAGTGTTTTTTTTTTTTAAATGAAGCCTGGAACCATTGCCATAGAATGAACAAATGATTTAATCTAGAATGGCTGGGAATCAGCAGTGTAGTGAGCATCAGAAAGTCAAGGGAATTAAAGAAACCACTCAGAATACAGGAAAAATGATTGTCTATGAAAAGCAGGCTGAGGGGAAAGAAGTATGAAACCAAAAAGAAGCTAAAAGTACTGGAAGAGGACAGGAAGCTGCTGGAACAGTGAAGTGGAATACCAGGCTTCACAGAAGTGAGAGAAGTGGAAGGAGAGGTCCATGCGACCATAGGAGAGAATTTTACATATGATGTATCTGAAATTAGTGGAAATACATGCACAAGTACATACAGCACAATATACCATGTTGTCAAAGCTGGAAAACACATACTGCCATCTGTTGCTTATCAGAGTGCAAGTGACAGACCTCTCTGGAAAACAGCTTGATAGTGCCTCTCAGAATTACCGGTGTGTGAACCCTTCAGCACTCCCTCTTCAGGGATATAGCTACAAATGTGAGGACAATAAAAAAGGGCAAATAAACAAGGTTATTAACTACAGCATTGCTGTGATCATAAAAATGTATAAACAATGCTAGTATCCAGTAGGGTAGTAGCTAATATTATGCATCAGTAAAAAAAAAAAAAAAAAAAAAAAAAAAAAGCGTTTCTGTGTGCTGATTTGGAAAGATATTTAGGAGATAGTATCAGATGAAAAAAGCAAATTAGACCGGGTGGGGTGGCTGACACCTGTAATCCCAGCACTATGGGAGGGCAGGGTGGGTGGATCACTTGAGGTCAGAAGTACAAGACCAGCCTGGCCAACATGGTGAAACCCCATCTCTACTAAAAATACAAAAATTAGCCAGGCATGGTGGCGGGCACCTGTAATCCAAGCTACTTGTGAGGCTGAGGCCGGAGAATCACTTGAGCCTGAGAGGTGGAGGTTGCAGTGAGCCAAGATTGCGCCACTGCACTCCAGCCTGGGCGACAGAGCTGTTTCAAAAAAAAAAAAAAAAAGCAAATTGCAGAACAGGGTATGTAGTATGCTGCCTTTTGTTACGAGGGAAAATTAGACTATCTAGTCATATTTACATAGAGAAACCCCTGGAAAGATACTCAAGAAACTAATACTATTGATTAACTATTGGGAAAAACAAGAAAAAGATGAGGGTAGAGACCGGGGAAGTGGCTTCCAATCGTATCATTTTTAACAGTTTGATTTTAAACCATGTGAAACATATACTATCCATTTCAAAATAAAGATAAGTAGGGTTTTTTCAAGTATGACTACTTTTTACCATTTGCTCATGTCAAAAATTGTTTTACTGTTTCTCCTCAAATACTGTTTTTTTAAATAGAAGTAGCAGGCTTTGAAGGAAGCAAGGTCAGAATGATGTGAAGCCGAGGTTATGTAGGATAATAGACAGAATAGAGATGTGAGCCATGCATGGAGGGAGGGGATGATGTGTTGGAGATCAGCAAGTGAAGGGAGTGTGAAAAGGGCAGTATTCTAGATGACTCTAGATGACTTTAGCTTGGAGGAAGGGCAATTACTGAATGAAAGTTGTAGGTTGTGGTCTGGAAATAGGAACCAAGAGAAAAATCAGTCACACATTGTAACCATATGACTGGAGGAGCTTGGGAGATAACCAGCCTCCAGTTGAGAAAGATTTAAGGCAAGCAGTGTCTTCAGGGGAAATCTAGATTTTACTTAAAGTTTCCTCTGCCTTAAGAAACAGAAACAAGTATGCTAAAAATAAGGAAGTTAACAATGAAACAAGTTCAGAGAACTCAGTGGTGGGTAGTACCTGAGAGAGGAGGGTCAGGCTTCCCCTCATACAGTCACAGGATCAGGGCAGCCAACACAAAGAAATCACAGGAGGGAGGCAGGGGAGGAGCCAGAGTCGGCAGAAGGAAGGAATGACCTCGGTCCTGGGCATTTTCACACATACTTTCTCAATTTTTACAACCTACGAGGAGATGGTATTATCCCTATGTTATCAAATGGAAAACAGGGCTAGGGAGGTTAATGAACTGGCCTAAGACAAGTACACTGAGATTGAGGTATACTCTCCCAGCCTCACACATCCCTCGAACTCATCCATTCATTTAGAGAACTGGAATAGAATAAAGAAGATCCCACAGGGATATGGGTAGGGAAGATGGCCATATACAGTTTACTTAAAAGGACAGAAGAAGCAATTCTCTAACCACTCTCAACCCTGTTAATTCTAATATTTTTAGATAATCAGTCTTCATCCGTTCAAGCCGCTATAACAAAATACTGTAAACTCGGTAGCTTATGAACAGTGGAAATTTATTCTCACAGTTCTGGAGACCAGGAAGTCTAAGATCTAGGAACCAGCAGATGAGGTGTCTGGAGAGGGCCCACTTTCAGCCTCATAGGTGGCACTTTCTTGCTGTTGTGGAAGGGCAGGGGGCCTCTCCTGGGTCTCATTTATAGAAGAGCACTAATCCTATTCATGGGTTCCACCCCATGACCTCATCACCTCCCACAGCTCTACCTCCTAACACCATAACATTGGTGTTACTGTTGTAGTCTCAGCAGTGCACCAAGATATAATAGTCTCTCATTGTCTGAGATAATGCCCGGAGTTCTTTTTCCTATCTCCAAGATGATTAAGGAGCACAGACAGGAAGATGAGGTTAGAGCGAAAGTTTAACAAGCAAAAGAAGAAAGCTCTCTGCCAGCAGAGAAGGTGACCCAAACGGGGTGCTCCCTATGAGGCTGGGGCCCAGGGTTTTTATGGACTGGAAAGGGGAAGGAATGGGCTTAGTCTCCCTGCTGTCTTGGAGAGAGCCTGACTCAGCTGGGCCCGGGACCTTGGCCCAGGAACCCACTGGAGCCCACTGTGCCTATGCCCACAAAAGGAGAGAGCCCCCTGACTATACGAAGGACAAAGGCCTTTCCTTTTTTTTCTTTTTGAGGTGGAGTCTCGCTCTGTCGCCCAGGCTGGAGTGCAGTGGCGCAATCTCGGCTCACGGCAAGCTCCGCCTCCCGGGTTCACGCCATTCTCCTGCCTCAACCTCCCGAGTAGCTGGGACTACAGGCGCCCGCCACCACGCCCGTCTAATTTTTTGTACCTGTAGTAGAAACGGAGTTTCACCGTGTTAGCCCAGTTGGTCTCGATTTCCTGACCTCGTAATCTGCCCGCCTCAGCCTCCAAAGTACTGGGATTACAGGTGTGAGCCACCGCGCCCGACCGAACAAAGGCATTTCTATGCCAGGTCTTGTCCTTTATCTGATGGAAGGTTTTTCTGTCTGTGCAGCCGTGGGCATGTCTTTAGGCACAATGCCCTGTGCTAGTTCCCTCATCGGTGCCTGCAGCTTGACTTTTTTTCCCCAGGCTGCTTTTTATGTTATATGGGGATGAGGCACTGACCTGTGGACCTGGGGCTCTCCGGGGACCCTTCCCTTGCTATCTACCTAAGGCAAACTAACTCCTTTCATTAACACGTCAGTATATAAATTTGGAGGGGCACAAACACATCGAGACCATAGCATAATCCCTTTATCCATTTCTTTCTAAAATTTTTATTGACTACCTTCTCGTGCCAGGATACGTAATCTTCACAGCACCCCATGAGTTAGGTATTGCTGTGCCTGTTTTAAAGATGAGGAATCTAAGAATCAGAAAAATTAATTTTACTTCAGTTTCATATCTATAAAATGAGGATAATAGTTTCTGCCTCCTATGACTGTTAAGCAGTTAAGTAGTTGATATACTAGAACAGTGCCTCAGTAGTAAGCACTCAAATGTTTGCAGGTGTGTTCTCACTATTTTTATTTCTCACCATCATGTTGGATTATGAACACCTCGAGGATGGGAGCCATGCACTCTTCATCTTTAATCCCAAGTACCTGACAATGCCATTCATACATTAGGCATGCAGTAAATATTTGTGGAGTAAATGAGTCATTGTTTTCCTTGAAAAAACCCAAGGGCTGCAGTTTGTGTCACCACCATTGATATGTTGTGTATCTGAACTAGATCTGCCATTGAGTGTCCCCATCTTGCTCACTCGCCCCCACCCACTGGTGGGGTGGACACCAATCTGCAGTGTGATTTGAAGCAGGAGCTACTGAACTTTCTAACAGGAATAGTTAACGTTCTAGCAAACCTCTGGCATCCTCCCGTGCTGACCCATCCTGGGTCTGTGCCTGCATTTGTCTGAGGTGGCACTCATTGCTACTCTCATGCCTGTTAGCTCTAACCTGAAGTTGACTTCTCTGTCTGAGATTAGCTGTCTTCAGTTTGACACTTACTCTCATGTCTTGGTCTTACTCTTATATGGAACTTACTTTTTATTCCTCTAGATCAGGCCTCAGTTTGTGGTTGTTCAGTAATAGTAGTAATAGCCAACATTTATTGAGTATTTATACTGTGCAGGCTAAGAGCTTTATAAATGCTAGCCTTTTGTCCATCGTGGTTTCCTTCTCTTATGTCAGAGATGTTTTTAACCCAGAAAAGGTAAAGTAAATGAGATGTCATTCCTCATTGATCAGTGTAAGCTCATTCCATCCAATCGCGTGATATTTTTCTCTCAAGCACAATCAGAATTTACATTTATTATTTTGAAAACTAGCTGTAGAAAACTAATGCACAGTTCCTATTCCTTCATCTAGTATTAAATAGGGACTCTGCTTTCAAGTATAATAAGCCTAGCGTGTTCTCCTGACAAAGTAAGCCTCCTCGTTTCTAAAGAAACTAAAAATCTTTTTGAAATGATATGAAACCCATGACGTGAAGCACATTAATATAATAATTATCTTTTTTAAAATACTGTTTTGGGTACATTTTATAGGCCTACTTTGATTATAACCAACAAATTCATATCTTCCCCAAAGTGTTTTTTCCACTTTGTATTTTATAATATTGTTCATATTTTTAACTTGATCAATTTTCATTTTCCTGCTAATATCCTTCAGCTACTTTTAAAAATTACAGGAATCATTGGCCTTCCCATTTTACCAGTGTATGCTTTTTTATCAGTGAAGATAAAAGGGAAAACACGGCTTCTTTAAACTTAAATTCGTTTTTACTTATAGAATATTCTACACAAAAATCTCCCTGTTTTCTATTCAGAAAAATAATGTTCTGCCAGACTAAATTGAGGGGTTTTGTGACCTTTTTTGTTCATTGCTCTTTGTTTTAAAATGATATATCTAATGCATTTATTAATAGAAGAAGATCTGTAGCTCAAAGTGATCCTCTCTAGGCAGGATATAGTGAGTAAGAGATCCCGTCACTTCTTCCATTATACATATCTCTGTTATGTTGAATTTTTTATAGTGAATATTTTTTACTTTTGTGATCAGAAGAAAAATTTCTAATTGTTATATTTGTATAACCATAGTGATGTTACTTCTTTGAATAACCTATCAGTGATTTATATGTCTATAAAATTTATATGTGTGTATTCTTAAAACATTATTTTCCTTTGCCTCCTTCAAATTTATACAGGTCCCAAAGGCAAGCAGTTAGAAGGAACTGAATGTCCACTCCATGTTGTTCATCCACCCACTGGGGAAGAGTTTGCTCTGGGATGTGGAGTGTGCAGAAATGCCCACACTTTTTAGAACACTCAGATCCTTTGTCTACAGAGAGAAAAGTTGCCTTCATCCCCCAAGAGGATGCGGTAAAGTTTAAACTCTGCTCAGGATAAGGACGGGACCATTTTTACATCCATGAAAATGAACCATTCACAGTGCAAGAAGGATGCCAAATACCATGTACATAATTCTTGCTATGGAAAGTTTCCCCATTATTTTGGTTTATCTTCTTTTGAACAAATGACATCAAACTTGTGAGGTGTTTGCATGTGGCCATTACCGTCATTGGCCTGTGAAGCATTGGACATTTATAGATAATTGATATAAAAGAATCGCCATGCCCATGGGCTAAGAACGATGCTGGCTTTCAAGCAAAAAAGAAAAATAATCATTGTTTATTGTATACTGCCTTTTTGTAATCCTGTACAATTGCATCACGGGTGGGGATAAAAAGAGGAATATTCTGGTTTATTTCCTAGACTGTTATTTAAAAAAAAAAAAATTGTGTTAGGACAGCATATAAATGTAATAAGTATCACACTGTATATAAAGATATCAATGTTTGTCCTGTATAAGAATTACTAAATTACAAATGCAATTTCATTTAAACTTCTAGGTTAAGTTTGAGCCTGAAATTTTAATGAAGTGCAATACTGAGTGTGCCTCATTATCTTGCAGCTGTAAACATATTGGAATGTACATGTCAATAAAGCCACTGTACATTTTTATACAGTGATAAAGTCTACCACTGTGGGAGGTGTTGTTTGAGAAACAAAATTTAAACACCTTTAAGGTCTAAAAGTCTAGTTTTCTTCAGAAAGAAATTTACTAACACAACACAATCAAAAATTTCACAACTGTTAGGAAAAATAAGAATAGTAATGAGGTGCAATGTTGGAATCTTGAACCCTAAGCAGATGATCATATATATATTCATAGGTAGATGTATTCATACCAAAGACAGAAAAAAACATTTAGGAAATTAATCAACTTCTATTTTAACTAGCAGCATTTTTAACTTTATTTATTTATGAGACAGGGGCTTACACTGTCTCCCAGACTGGAGTACAGTGGCGTGATCTCAGCTCACTGCAGCCCCCACCTGGGCTCAAGCGATCCTCCAGCTTCAGCCCCCTGAGTAGCTGAGACTACAGGCATGCACCAGCACCATGCCCAGCTAATTTTGTATTTTTTGTAGCGATGGGGTTTCGCCATGTTGCCGTGGCTGGTCTCAAACTCCTAGGATCAAGCAATCCCCACCGTTTCAGCCTCCCAAAGTGCTAGGATTACAGGCGTGAGCCACTGCACCCAGCCCTTTTTGAACTGTATATAAAGTAATAAAATCAATAATTTTTATTCATTTTCTATAGACAACGGTGTGTTTAAGTACATCTTTTTGACACTTGAGTCACGAAATTGCCAAATTATTGATTGTTGACTCATCATACATCAGATTAGCAAAAGTTTTTGTTGTTGTTATTGTTTTTGAGACAGTCTCACTCTGCCGCCCACGCTGGAGTGCAGCGGCACCATCTCGGCTCACTGCAACCTCCGCCTCCCAGGTTCAAGCGATTCTCCTGCCTCAGCCTCCCCAATAGCTGGGACTACAGGCGTGCGCCACCTCACCCAGCTAATTTTTGTATTTTTAGTAGGGATGGGATTTCACCAGGCTGGTCTTGAACTCCGACCTCAGGTGATCCGCTCGCCTCGGCCTCCCAAAGTTCTGGTATTACAGGCGTGAGCCACCACGCCTGGCCAAGACTAGCAAAAGTTTTAATCACATTTTGTTCTAAATTCCAACTGTGGGAAATATAGAACTTAATTTGTCAATATAGAAATTACTGACAAATTTAATGACATTTGTGTTAAGCATTTATGAGAAATTTAAATCAATCTTTGCCTTGAAGGAACTTAAAATATAAAACAAAGATCAGATCTGAGCACAGGTAACTATTTTATAGAATGTTCTAGTAAGTTTCATAAAAATATCCAAGCCAAATTCTTCAGGATTTAGGAAAAATCATTATTGTTTTGTTGTTATTGAGAGTGTAACTAAGAGGCCATTTAAGCTGCATTTTGAAGAAAAAGTAGCATTTCAAGGAGCAGAGATGTGGAGAAAGGCATGAGAAATACCTAAGTAGGAAAATCTAGAATATGATCGAAGAACAGTAAGTATGAGTGTTCAGACTTAGGACTGACTGCAGATGTTTCCAGAAAACACAAAGCAGGTAGACTAAAGCTGTTCCTAGGTGCACCCCCAAGAAAACTGGAGGGGAGAATGCAGTGAGGCCACTGTCAGTATATTTGACTTAAACTTACAGGCCACAGGAATGGAACTAACCTTCAGAATGCCACACAGATAAGAGACTTTATGGACGCTTAACAACTGTGAAGAATACCATCTTGTGTCAGTTAACTTTGCTGGCAAACCAGTCAGCTCAGTTGGTAAATTGTAGAGGAAAAGAAACAAACTATTGAGATAGCTTAGCTAAAAAAGCCATCTCAAGTTATGAAACGGATAAAAGCAACAAAGCCCTGTAGTGTATACTCACAATGACTTTAACTTATCTTCATTTATGAGGAAGCCACTTTTAGTCAGGATCTCTAGCACCTTAAAACCGGAGAACATAAACATCTTAGGAATAAATTATGACAAAGCACAGGAAGGGGTGGCTTTGGCAGGCATTTTTAGCTCAAGCATCCTACACACAAGGACCATCCTTCAAACACTGCGTGTAACATCCAAGGCAGGAGACAGAAAACAGAATCACAATGGTAGATGTCAGTGAATCTTTCTGGAAAGAAATTGTTTTTCTGTTATATTTTCAAGCCTAGGAAAAGACATTTTCCTTAGTATTATGGCTAGATTGTTTAGGCCTAAAATCTCCCTATTCTATCAATAAGCTTATTTGGTTTTGTTTTTGGTTTTTTTTTTTTGTTTGTTCGTTTGTTTGTTTGTTTGTTTTGAGACGGGGTCTCGCTCTGTCACCCCAGCTGGAGTGCAGTGGCGTTATCTCAGCTCACTGCAACCTCCGCCTTTTGGGCTTAAGTGATCCTCCCACCCCAGCCCCAAGTAGCTGGGAGTACAGGCACGAGCCACCACGCCTGGCTAATTTTTGTAATTGAAACAGGGTTTCACCATGTTGGCCAGGCTGGTCTCAAACTCCTGAGCTGAAGCGATCTACCTGCCTCAGCCTCCCAAAGTGCTGGGGTTACAGGTGTGAGCCACCGCACCCAGCCTCAACAAGTTTATTTGATAAAATAAATGCAATACTTCCTTTATTCACTTCTCATTCAGAATGTTTAGTAATTTGTATTGTTTTTCAGATTTTCAGCCCATTATATCTCCCTGCCCACTGTGTCACCATATTCTACCTATACATCATCACGTGTTTCTGCTATTGGCTGTATGATGGAACACTGCGGCTCATTTTCCTGAAAGCTGCCGATAGTGCATAGACTGCTGGGATGGAAACCAGCAGCTTTGAATTCAAGCCTTGGCTCTGCCTTGTTTTTGCCTGGGTGGCCTTGAGTCAGCCCATACCTTTTAAAATCTCAATTTATTAGAAATTATGCCAAATCTAAATCAAATGAGAAAGTATATACAAAAGTGCTTTATCCCACAATGAACTATTCAAGAGAGAGCACAGGCGAGGACATTTACTCAATACCTCCTAAAGGGCAGGCACTGAATTTAGGCATTTTATTTAATCCTCCCAGCAACTCTGAGAGTAAAACATCATTAATCCCATTTTGGCTGTTTAAAGAAATTATTTGCACTAGATTCCAGCTGTAGCTTAGCTTCAGAAAAAAATCCTGAGATGTGAATTCACAGCTTTCTAGATTTAAAGACCAAGCTCTATCACATCATGCAGTTATTGTTACATTACTACTAGTTCTATGAAAAGAAATACTAATTTATGAAATACAGGTTGAGAATCTCTTACCCAAAATGCTTGGGAAGTGTTTCTGATTTTGGGTTTTTTCAGGTTTGGGAACATTTGCATTACCAGTTGAGCATATCAAATCTGAAATCCAAAATGCTCCAGTGAGCATTTTATTTGGGTGTCATGTGTGACGGTACTCAAAGTTTTAAATTTCAGGTTTTCGAATTTGGGATGCTCAACCTGTAGTAACAGGACATTTGTTGTCTGGTCAAGGCTGCACAGGGGACAGCATATGCCTCCAGGAGTGTTCAGTGTCGTCGGAAGGTACCACCACCCAGATCTCCCTTCAGAGGAGGCCCCACCTCAAGGAGTCCAGTTAGCTGACAGCCTCCAGCTTTAATCACCCCCACATAGGACCCAATGCCACACTCCTCCAGGGCAGCCCCAGCCTGTGATAGAGTTCAGCTGAGGTTCTCGGGCCTGGCCATTTCTGCGCAAGCGGCACTCCTGCGTGGGCAGTCTCGCATCAGAACTCAGGCTGACTGAGACTGCCTTAGAGCTGCCCTGCAGTCGGAGGCTTTTCCTCCCCAATCTTTCCTTCTCTTCTTTCCTAGATGCCAGACCTGCATCACAGTCTAACGGCTCTCCCTGCCCACTCCTGCTCCCTCACCACTTCATCTTTCATAGGCATTACCCCCAACAGATTTTCTGCACTTCTCACTTAATCTTGGCATCGGCTTCCTAGAGGACCTGCCTGACACAGGAGGCTAATACATTTTAAATGACTGACTTATCGCCTCATTTCTCAAATGTCTTAGGGTGGCTTAGAAAAAAATAACAAGACTATAAAAAAATATATACTGGAGGGAGTTACAGTGAAGAAAAATTATGAAAGAAAAAGTCAAATGGGAAAAGGCATTCCAGGGAGAGCTGATGGTGAGAACTGAGGCATTAACGTGTTCCTCAGAAGCATCAGGTAAGCTGTTTTGCTTTGTTAATTTAATAAATATTTGAACACCTGGTCTAGGTCCACACTTGACGGTACACTCTCATGAGGGGGTTAGTAACCATGACTTCTACAGAGAAGGTGCTTGATGAATGAACTGCATGAGAGTCTGTCAAGATGTGCGGCGCACTCTGCCAGGTGCTAGACTGAGACAGCCATGGAACACAAATGCAGAATCCTGTAAATAATGCAATGTTATTAAGGACCTTAATCCAGGTTTTATAACCATAAGGCAAAGCATTTATTGAGGGCTTACGGTGGCCCAGCACAGGCATGACAGGTAGAATAACCATCCCCCGAAATCTGTCCGTGTCTGAGCCCTTGGGGTGTGTGAAGTTGCTGCCTTACATGGCAAGTGGACTCTGCAGATGTGATTAAGGGTACAGACCTTGTGATGGGAAGAGTACACTGGATTGACCCCATGGACTCAATGTAATCACAAGAGTCCTAATATGGGAAAGAAAGAGGCAAGAGGGTCTCGGTCAGAGAAGGAGATGTGAGGATAGACGCAGAGGCCAGAGATAGAGACTTGAAGATGCTACACTGTCGGCTTTGAAGATGGAGGAAGGGGCCAAGCACCGAGGAATGCAGGCAGCCTCTGGGAGCTGGCAAAGGCGAACACAGGTTCTCCCCTGGAGGCTCCACAGGGAATGCAGCTCTGCTGACACTCTGCTGTTAGTACATTTCAAAATTCTGATCTCCGGAACTATACAATTGTAAATGTGCTGTTTTAAGCCGCCGGGTCTGTTGCAATTTGTTATAGCAGCAATAGGAAAGGAATACAACGGGCTTCACAAGCATCATGATGTGTTAATCTTCCACAAACCTACAAAATATTACCTTTTTACAGAT